TCAAACTGCAGTGATTGAGAAAGCAAAGATGCCATCTGTTGTGACAAGGTAAGCAGGCCAGAAGGACAAAGTGCAGGTTCTGGGTGAACGCACAGAAACAGGAAAGCCACTGGACGGGAGCACAGGCGTGGGAAATGTATGCAGCCCTCGATGCGCTGCAGGTGATGGGAAGGACACTACACATGACTCCATCGAAAAATAAAAAGCCAGGCACAGTGGCTCATGTCTGTAATCCCAGCTTTTCTGAGGCTGAGGCAGGAGACTAGCCTGAGCTTATAGAAAAAGGCCCTGTTTCAAAATCCATGATATAAATGAAAAAATAAAATAGAAAAAAAAAAGGAACCATAACTAGGGCAAACAGTAATCTGACAAAAGTTTTTTTCTTTTTAATTTAAATCCCCAATATGTAAAGAACATTTACAAATTAAGATGAAAAGCCAAACTGGACAGGCAGTGGTGGCGCACGCCTTTAATCCCAGCACTTGGGAGGCAGAGGCAGGGGGATTTCTGAGTTTGAGGCCAACCTGGTCTACAGAGTGAGTTCCAGGACAGCCAGGTCTATACAGAGAAACCCTGTCTCGAAAAACAAAAACAACAACAAAAAAAAAAAAGAAAAGAAAAGCCAAACTGAAAACTGAGTAAAAGGTACCTTACCAATGAAGCTACTTAGATGGCCACTTTAAAAAGATGTTCAGTGGTGCTGGGGAGGTGGCTCCGTGCTTAAAGGCACTTGTTTCTGTTGCAGAGGTCCTGGGTTTGGTTTCTGACATCCATGTGTTGGCTCACAGGGCCTGCAATGTAGCTCCAGGGGCTGTAATGCCCTCTTCTGGCCTTTGCAGGCACCTGTGCATACATGAATGTATAAACACGCAGGCGAAACACTCATAAATAAGAAAGAAAGATGCTTAACATGGCTAGTTTTCAGTACAATGCAACTTAAATCATGTCACTTGATCCTGGGTGTGTGACATACATTTTCATTAGCACAGAGAAAAGGTGAGCTTCCTCAGCCAGGGCCACTGTGTGCTCACACCCGTCACTCCAGTGTGCTGAGACACACATGTGAAGCCTACAGGACTGACAGGATACTAAGAGCCCTTCCCCTCAGTAGTCACTGCACACATACGATCTTTGAGATTGACCTCTGGGAAGCTACGAGAGGGTCCCAACCCAGGACTGTCATTGTCGTCTCCCAGCCAAGGTTATACAGATAGGGTGTTTGAGCCACAAGTCACTCACTGTGGCTGCTGAAGGCCTGTAAGGTGCTGACTCTGGCTCCAGAAGCCAGCAGTGGGTGGGTGCCCCTTTGGAGAAATTCTTTCCTAGTCGCCACCCTTGAGATCCCCTGAGCTCTCAGGCACTCAGGGCTGGTAGATAGTAGGGGTGCCACAACTGGCTCTCTCCCCAGTGGGGAAGGAGGGGCCTGACGTGTGTGTGTGTGTGTGTGTGTGTGTGTGTGTGTGTGTGTGTGAAGGTAGGATCATAGGGCCCTGGGCCACTACCAGTACTTCCTGCCTGTCAGAAACCACTGTTCTCTGGCCCAACTGCAGTATGTAACTGCCTCCAGGGTCCTTTAGGTCCACAGTAGGAGTTTGCAGCTAATAGTAGCAGCAGCTAGCAGCGTCCCTCGGGGATGTGTATTGACTCCAGCCCCATGCACGGGGAGTGGCCCAGGTTAAGAACCCTATCAAGGGTTGTTACTGTTATAAACCTTAGCAGGTCACCAGGAGACACACAACGTATTCTGTCCCAGGAAGGCATGGGGCACTCACCTCCAGCACCCAAGGCTATACACACACACAAGGCCAGCCCCCACCTGACACCTCCCCCTTTGCTTATTAGGGCCTCTCATTGCTCACCAGGTTTCCTACAGCAGGGAGGCCCCCATCCTACCACCAGGAAGAAACAGGCTCAACCTCCTCACCTCTGGGCAGGAGTGACTCTGGGAGGCTGGACTGCTGGGGCCCGAAGCTGCAGGAGCCTATTTTGTGGGCCCTGGGGGAGCTCTGGGGACCCCGCCATGCCTGCAAGCATTGGCCACAGCAAGAACATTCTGCCTCCCCCTGGACTCAACAGGCTCTGGGTGGGCAGAGACTCGAAATGACAGGACCACACTATCACCTGCAATGATAACATTTATTGAATTAGCCACAGCGTAACAGCAATAGAGGCGGGGAGGCATTAGCCTGGGAGGAAGGAGTCAGGCTGTATACAACGAGCGATGTACAGGGCCCAGCAGCCCAGCATGATTCACAGAAAGGACAAAGCCCCAGGGGTGGGGGTGGGAAGGTCTGGACAGCAGCAGACATAAACATCCACCTAATAAAAAACAAAGTCATGTGTGATAGAACTCTCTGTAGAATCTGTTTCTTCATAAATCATGTGTTTAACACACACTTAAGCGTTGCTAAAATCAGCAAGAGCTATTACAGTGCTCCAACTTAATAAGTTGATAACAGTTGTCCTGTTTCCAGTTCACAAAGGAACTAAATAGTTTTGTTCCGAGGAGCCTGGGAAGTGCCATTGTGCCGAGGCCTTTCTAACAACTGTTCTTCCTGCTACTGAGTCCCCAGCACAGGACCCTTCAGCAGGCAGCAGGGGCTCCCAGAGGTTGCTCTGTTCTCCTGGAGGCCCAAGGGTTGCGTCAAAGGGGCCATCTCAGGCTGGCTTTTCATGAAGTGATGGTGAGTTACCTGAGTGCACACCCCGTCCCTGCCACGTTGAATAGTCAGTCCAAAATGGGATAAAACGGACAGCATGTTTGCTGTGCTGGGCAGTCCCCAGGCACTCTCGAAAGCTCTGCTTTTAGTTCACATGCAGAAGGTTGAGCCCATTTCTGGTGACAGCCATTGGCGGAGGACTCACCGGTGGCTTCACCTGCACAATCCAGGAGTTAGTGAATGAAGACAGAGGCTCAGGTGGAAGTGGAACAGCTGGGGAGTCATGGCGTTTGGTGTATGTGGAGTTGACGAGTGTCCGGTCTCAGTAGATGGTGCTTTACAACAGTGACCTGTGGCACATGTAGCCATGGTTGCTGCTGCCACACAGACCACTGGCCACAGACAAAGGGAGCCATCAACTCCATGGGTTGCAGAAGCCATTGGCACCAGGGAGATAAGACAGCCAGGCTGCTGCTGATGGAGGGGCCACGGCACTTTCTATACTGCGCCTTCTATGCCATCTTCACTACACCAGGAGGCTACCAACCAGATCCTGCTCTGTCACTCCAACCTTGCCCAAACTAGCCCTCACAGGGCCCTGAGGATCTCAAGGGTGGGAGTCTGAAGGCTGTGCACCTGTGTGAATGTTCCAGCTGAGACCTTAGGCTAAGAACAGACAATGTCCCATAGTCAGCTTTCCAGATACTAGGAAGTGCCACCATACCATTCTGCCCCCAGACTGTGACCTCTTAACAGCTTGCACTCTCGTGCAGGCAAACTTGGGCCACACATCTTAAGAGGCATCTCTTAAGACACCTGTTGACTTTCACAGGCAACAGAAGCAGGCTCCCTCCTGTTAGTAACTTACTTGCAATTCTATGGCCTGGAACCAGTGGAAACTCTGCTAATCCCCTACTACCACATGGTGCTTGCACAGTCTAAATCCCAAGGCACTACAAAGCTAACTCCACTTGCATCCTCGGCATTGGCCACAGATGGGCATCTGCTTGACTCTGCCAGTCCCCTGGGTCCAGGTAGCTGAATCCCTTTTCCTCTCAAGATCACAGACCACAGAAGAGCTACACAGGTGCACTCTCTGGGATCCCACTGCCCATGGGTGCTGGGTCTGCACGCCCAGGTCAGGAAACAGAAATACCTGGGCTGGTCTGAGCAATACAAGCTTTGGGGTCACTGACTGCAAAGCCAGTCCTCCTCCCTTGGCTTCTTTTAACATGTAGGCAGTGGCCCTGATAGCTGCCTACTGGTGCCATCTCAGAATAACCTCTCAGTGAGGGAAGGGCTAGGCAAGAGTGTCTACTTGTCTACCCCAGATGAGACATTCTTAAGGTCCATGGCTCACTTTATTTATCTGCAAGGAAGCCCAGAAACCAACTCTATTGCCACCCTTGGGCCTCCATCCCAAGGGCCCTCACGCTGACCAGATCCACAGGCAGCAGCCTTTGGATGTAAAGGTCTAACAGGCTCAGGTCTTAAAAAGTACCAGATGTGCAGCCTGATCTGACAGCAACAAACAGGCAAGCCTCTGGCGGACTGTTTTTACCTGGGTGTCAGCATTCTACCAGTGGCTTTGCCAAGACCTATGCCATGAACACAAAGTGTCCTTGTGTTACTTCAGATTATGGTGAGGCCGGTATCTTAAGTCTGACCCACTGTTTGTGGTGCTCCTATTATTTCTTGCTCCTGTGGGTGTGGTCTCTGCTGGACCCCAAACCTCCCTGTCATTCAGCTTCAGTGGGCACGGTCTGCAGAAACCTCTGGGTTTGATGCTGTGAGCAGCGTGTGACCAAGGTCCCCATGCTCATTTTGATGGTTCCAGGTTCTGCCCACTTTAATTGTTCTCTGCATCCCTGCCTCCCTCTGTCCCCCTATGGCACAGTGGAAAAGCAGGGTGCATGAAAACAGGCTGTAATCCTTAGTCTCAGGAAGGAGGGAATACCATCTTAAAACTAAGTTGCACGGGAGTGACCTGCCAAAGGATGCTGGTTGGAGAGAGGAGCCCAGAAGTGCCCACTTCCCCAAAGAGACAGAGCACCCCACTGATAAGGCTTAGCTGGCTGGGGGCTTAGCATTGAGTCCAATTTCCCCTACCTAAGGAGGAGACTTGGAATTCTATTCTCAAGGGCAATATGGAAAACACTGGAAGGTAAAGCCAGTCTTCTGCAGGCGTAGGCTTGAAGGAAGACCCAGGCAGGTGGAAGGTACCCTTGTACCCTGAGCACATGCCTCTGCTCCCCAGATGTAAAACACTAAAGATGACAAAGTGCCACCTGTGTGGGGAATGTGGCAAGACAGAGCCCAGCCAAGGACATAAACACAGCATTCCTTTGAAGACACAGAAAATTCAAGTAATTTATTTAAAAACTGCTTACTTTCATTTTGAAATATATATGTATATATCTTTGCTTTAGAATGCTCATATTGCAGCATGATTCTCATGCACTGTAAAGTACTTTATGTAAAAACATCAACCGAGGCAGCAAGAGCACGGCTCTGACTTCATCTGGGTACCATCCAGGGGGGCCTCCCTCTCCTGAGTGCGGACTGACTTTCATGAACGAGAGGCTGTGGAGTTGTTAAACAGAGACCGTCATTTGGAAAGTCTTTACCCACAGCTGCAGCATTTGCTGAGCCTGCTTCCCTGAAGCCCAAGTTTTGTTCATGTGGAGAAATGGAACTACTCGGGGTTCCTGGGTCACCAGCCCTCCTGCTCAGGCAGATGCCTGCTTCTCGTTGCCTTCATTCCCATTCCAGTGACCATCAGCAGGAGCAGGTGATGAGGTCACAAGATTTCAGTTAGGTTCCAGCGAGGATCAATGTCACCAATGTGGCAGGGAGGTAGGCCTTGGCACCTTCACATGCCCTGCTCTGATGCCACTGTCCCCCATTCTCGAGGTAGCCTTGCAGCAAGACTTGGGAGCCAATGCTCACCTGGAGCTCTGTGCCTGGATTTCCAGCCAAACGTGTAGAGACAAGCTGAAGTGTCACACAGAGCCAACAGCTGCCTTGTGGTGGCTTCTGGGGAGGACCATGTGGGTAGGGACAGGACACAGACACACTTACACACAAGCACACAGGAGGCACACTCAGAGTTCACATTCAGCCCTGCTGACTGGTGCTGTCCCTGGATGGGATGTCTGGAGGCTGCCCTGGGGAATGGCTGCCTTCTGTTCAAACACCTCCGGGCCCCTTCCCCAGCTTTGGTGTAAGGCCTCAGCTATGCACAGGATTGTGAGCCTAACTCGCCAGAGATGCTGTTCTAAGAAAACCACAGTTGTGAAAAAAAAAAATACTGTTTTTAAAATAAACAGAAAAATACTCTGAAGGGCTGCAATCCCAGACTGATGCTGAAGGCGTCCCCGACAGACACCTGCTGGGCAATCTGGATACTGCGCTGCTGCTGTCTGCTGCCTTCAGATGACACCTGCCAAGGGAGTCAGTTTCTGCACTTCCAATTACTGGTTTAGAAATGCAGGCCCTTACATTTTCTAAATTGCTTATTGACTATGCTGTGAATATTTCACAATTTAAAAACATGCAGAATGATATACCTGCAGAATAAAAGACAGCTGAAATTAAGTTCTTTTTCAATAAAAAAAGATTTCAAATGATTTTTTTAATTGTGGGAAAGGTAATTAGTGTGATATTTTTGTCTAATAGCTCAAACCTACCCTACACCTAACACCTACTGAACTTGGACTGTGCTCTGGGAAGGACTCCAGCTCGCATGCTGTCGGCAAGCATAACCCCCAGTGCACCCTGCCCTCCAGTGTGGAATGTACCAGCTGGGGCTCACACCATAGACTCTGTCTCCACCAACCCCCGCAGGCCCCCCTTCCGAGACAGCTTCAGTACAGTGGGCTTTTCACTGTCTGCTCCACCCTCGCCTTCGCCAGTGGGCCCTGAGGATAGCCCTTTCTGTTCTTCCTTTGCTTCTTCTGACACCTCAGGGTAGATGACCAGGAATGTGGCTGTCAGGAAGCCCAGGAAAGAGCCCACAGAGGCCACTATGGGGATGACAATGATAGTATTCACAGCATCAACCACACCCCCAAGAGCAGATGCAACCAGGATCTGGGAGATGTAGACCTGACAGGAGAGGATGGCGCAGTCGATGCCAAATCCACGCTTGGAATTCCCTGGACTGTGGTGGACATACTGCAAGAGAAGAGACACATGTGTGAGGGCACAGAGAAGGGGACTGGCATCAGGACCGAGGCTGCGAGCACTGACTGCACTGAGAGGAGACACACTTGCCTAGGCTAGGCAGTTAGCAACTGCTAAGCTGGATTCTCCAGAGCTCAGCCTGGTGCTGGGCAATAAGAAGAGGTAGAAATTATGGTTCACAGGGAGGAACACAGAAGTAGTTCTACAACCTAATCAGGACTTTATTCCCAGAATACCACCTCCAGTCCTAAGAAAGAGAGGCAGGGCAGACATAGGGGTGGCCACCTCACCCTGGAGATCTCCTTGGAGAGCAGGGAGCTCAAGTCACTCGTGCACGAGGGCTCAGGTGACAGAGCTGGGAACACCGGGCAGTTTTATTTGTTCATGTTTCTTGAACAAGATATAAAAGCATGCACTACATTGCTACTCTCACCCCATCATCCTTGAGATATGGAGGCCAATCTACCCAGAAGATGGAAACCACAGACTTTAGCTTGTATACACCACAGTCAGAGGGAGATTGTAAACACACCTTCCAGAAACCAGAAGGAATAACAGCAGAGAGCCCCACCTTACTCAACCAACAGAGGCCATAAGGGCGCAACACCCATTTCACCATATATGGGATATGCTGGGCGACAGAGGGTGTGAACAGTTAATTTAAGGGCTGAAATCATATATGTATGCTTTCTCTGATTTTGATGATTTCTGATCATCAGAAACCAGTGCTATGACCATCATTAAAAACTCCCAAATGTCAGAAATTCACCATCATACTCAATAATCATGCTGAATAACCCATGGGTGCAAAAATAGAAATCAAGACAAAAACTCATAAAAATCTGTGTATGTGTATACATGTGGAGACAGATGTCAGCACAGGTGTCTCTTCCTCTGCCACTCCTCAGCCTGTCCTCTGAATAGGGTCTCTTACTGGTGGTCTAGACTTCGGAACTTTGTCTGCCCCCTGGCACTGGGGTTTGTAATTATAGGGACATGTTACCATACCCTAGGTCTTACATGGGTCCTGGAGATCTGAATTCAAAGACTCATGTTTGGACACCAACTTTATCCACTAAGCTATTTCCCCTAGACTTTAGAAAAATCTTTGAAAAAAAAAATTAGTAGTAGCTGGGTGTGGCTATCCATATTATGGATTACAACACTCAAGAAGCAGAGGCAAGTGGATCTCTGTAAATTCCAGGCCAGCCTAGGATACTAGTGAGACCCTTCCTCACTAGGCTTTAAAAAGCAAAGCTGCACATTGAAAGCTCTAGATGTACCTGACAGCTCACGTCTGTAATCCTAGCACTCACTAGACGGAGACAATAGGATTTCTGTGAGTTGGAGTCCAGGCTGAGCTCCATAGGAATTCTAGACCAACACAGGCTACAGTGTGATAGCTGGGGGGACCCTGAACCACAGAGCGGAGGAGCTCATGCTGCATGACAAGCTACGACAGACCTACCTACTTCAAAGAATGCATCACATCTGTCAAGACTAAAGAGAACTGGCCAGAGGCACAGGCCATGCACTTATGTATGTGGCCATCTGGTGACAATGCAGATAGAGTGGGAGGTGCTGGGTCCCACCTCGGGAGGAATGTGAGAGTCTAACTCCATTCCCTCCAGCTATGCTAGAACCTACTGGGTAGACGGCAGGAAATGACAGAGGCCTGGGATCAGTTCTGCCATACTAGTTCCAGGAAGATCAGATGCCAGTACAAGTGAAGTCAGGGTATCAAGAAGAGAGGGGTTTCTAGATTCTGGTCACCATGTTTCTTGGTCTGGGTGATTCTGTATGACTCACTTCTGAAATGCTAGCAAGTGGTTTAGCCTCAACAATTATGAACTCTGGAGAGTAGTACATCTAGAAAACACCACTAGTGTAGGGTTTCATTAGGAGTGGGTGTGGTGAGCATGTACTGAGAGAACTGATTTTGCTTTAATGATTAATGGGATCAAAGGTGTGTACCAGTGAACCAGGTGCATGCTTGCTTCTCTCTTTCCTCCTCCTCCTCCTCCTTCTTCTTCTCTCTCCCTCTCTCCCTCTCCTCTCTCTCTCCCTCCCTCCCTCTCTCTCTCCCTCCCTCCCTTTCTCTCTCTTTCTCTCTCTCTCTCTTTGAGATAGGGTTTCTCTGTATAGTCCTGGCTACCCTGGAACTCACTCTGTAGACCAGGCTGGCCTAGAACTCACTACCTGCCTCTGTCTCCCAAGTGCTGGGATTAAAGGCGTGTGACACCATTGCCCCGCTGCTTATTTCTTAAGTAGCCCAGGCTGGCCTTGAACTTGCAGCTCTGGCACTCTGGCCTCACATTCCCAGTGCTGGGTGTATAATTGTACCTCCTCTACACCTGGCTCAAGTTCCTTCACACAGGGCCCAACAGTAGTAGCTCAGAAGCAGCGGCTGACAGAGCAGCTATTCAAAAGCCACAGAAGCAGAAGAGCACTGAGGCTGCTAGCTCAGGGGCCAGTGAGCCTGGAAAGGCAACTGCCCACAGTGGGGAAGGTAATGGTCCAGGGAACTGTGGGTCCAAGGAGCAGGACAGTCAGAGGAGTGAGACCCTGTGGCCAGGGAATAACTAGGAGAGTGGCAGCTGTTGCCTTCATCAGAAGGGTAGACAGAGAGGTCAGCAGGGCAGAGGTGGCCTCATCACCACCTTCACTTGGCCTCCTTAGAATGGCTGTACCTCCTTGATGTCATGGTAATGCCCTAGGAGGGCATAGGGGCAGTAGGAGATGCTCATGGAGACGACACCCATGGTGCTGATGGTGACCATGGCCACATAGACATTGGGAAACATGGCCATAACAGCGGTGCCCACGGAGAAGCCCAGGGTCCCCAACATGTAGATGATCCTGATGCTCAGGTCATAGTTGTCCAGGTACTTCTGTAGCAGGGCTGTAGAGAAGGTCACAAGGAACATGATTCAGGTGCTGTACACACACACCCTTCACCTCCAACACTGCCTCCCTCTGGCTGAACCTAGGCCTTCAGGCATAAATATAATCTCCTGCCTACCTGAACCATGCCCACCTTGATTCCTCCAGGTTCTAGCACTTCTGAAAGAAGCCAGCTCTCTGGCCTCCATGGGATGCCGACTGCCTACCCAGGTCTCCTTGGGAGAAATCTCTGGCCCTTCCCTTGTCACTCTGGGTTCCCAGCACTCAAGGCCAGTCTGAGGATCCTGCCTCCTGATTGGGTCCTCACAGGTACCGCCTCCTCCAGGAAGCATCCCTGCGGTCAGTAGATCTGTGATAGTGGTGTGGTGGTCCCTGTTACTTGGCTGACCTGCCCCACCCTCCCTGCTTCAACTACAGATCAGGTAAAGCTCAATTCCATTCCAGGTTCAGCCTGAGGATGGACAGATAAGAGAGGACTCCAACCCTAACTCTTTCAAGTGTTGGGACTGAGAGGGGCATGCTACCTTAGGATGAGAGCCTATCACCTCAGCCATCAGGGCTCTTGTCCTTGGCAGGCTGGACTGTTCCACTGCCCTTTAGATTGCTGGGCCCCAGATGGGGCTGGCATGCCAGGGGTATCATGCTCATCCACAGGTGCCATCCATGCTGGACAGTGTCCTGAGACAGCACTCAGGACAGCCTCCCAGCCTCAGGAACACCTGATTCCAGCAACCAACTTGAACAGCTTTTTCCTCTACTGAGGCTAAGGTCGGGATCCTGATACTCTGGGCGTGCCATCCTCTCACCTGAGCAGATAGCACCAGTAGCAGCATAGATGACCAGGCCCCAGCAGCCCATCTTCACGCCAGCGTTGTAGGCATGCCACTTGGTGGAGTTGGAGGGGGCCTGTTGCAGAGAGAGGAGGTTGAAGGCATTTGCCGCCCTCAGGGCAGAGATTACCCCACACTCCCATGCAGTCTGAGAGCTGACAGACTCCAGTGAGGAGGAGAATCAACCCATGTCCAGGTCAGTATCTGATAAGCTATTTCCAGTCCCTCCCAGGCCACATTCGACTCTTGCCCACAATGACAAGTGGAATCCTCCTGCCTGTGGCCCTGACATAAGGCTGGTCTGGACCTACAGAAATGACTCTGTCTTCTCTGAGCTGCCATGCTAGCACCTGAAAAAGGTGTAACAGACCACTGTGGCCACCTACACAGCCACAGTATGATGAGCCCAGAAACCTAGCAGGGCCTGGCAAGAATAAAAACAGGCCGTTACTTGGACAGCTGAACCAACACTCTTCTGTTCACGATTTCCAAAGTGGTTCTGGTTCTGTGATGTTACCTGGCATCACGAATGGTCACCATAGATCCCACTGCAACACCTTTGTCTCAGCTGTGTGACTGACCATGCATTAGGAAGCACACTGGCCAGGCACCTGCTGGGCATTCCCTGGATGCAGGGGCAGTGAATGCAGGCTTACAAGAGGCCCTGGCATGGGCTGCCTAGTTTTCTAGGCAGGAAAACTGGCATCACAGGGTACTCACCTGGGGGTTCCCTTTGAAGATGACCTGGCCCATGAAGTCAGTGTAGAAGACAGCCTCTGCGATGACAGAGAACCAAGTGAGGAGGTGACAGAGGCAGAGCCACATCAGCTCCTTGGGCATCTTCAGCATGGACAGCCAGAGCAGGCGCACAGTGGTCTCTGTCTCGCCCTCCTCACTCTCCGTGTCCCCGCTGGAGGCAGTAGCCCCACTCTGGTTGCGGTGCCGGGAGCGCTGCCGCTGCTGCAGGTCATACAGGTCACTCATGCTTCGGGATGGCTTGATCAGGACCACTGCGTTGGCCCGGCGGTAGCGGTAACAGTGGGACCCAATCTTGCCGTAGTAGGAGAAGGTGCTGGAAGCCTGCCTGTGGAACATGTGCCTACGCCGCCTCATGGAGCCAGATGTGACTGAGGGCTTCAAGTCTACCTTAGAGCGGCTGAGGGAGTTCATTGGTGGAGAGCCTCTCCCATTTGGGACTTTAGCTTCATTCAAGTGATTATCAAGCAAGGTGTCGTCCTCCTTGGTGGACTCCCTGAGGAACGTGGACAGGCGGGGCAGCTTGGCCCTCAGGAGCTCTTGGCTGGTGCTCTGGGGGGTGCTGGGGTAGGAAGCATCTTGGAAGATGGAGGGCTCGATGTCATGCAGGAAGAGCAGCTGAGGCTCCATGTCCAGTGTGGCGTCAGCCATGTGCAGCACCGAGTCGCTCTTGCTGCGCACGATGTCCACATCGAGGTAGTCCAAGGACAGCTCGTGTTCTGACTGCACCTCATCTGGGAATGGGGGGCTGCCGTCCTGCACGCCCCCACCAAGGGAACTGAGGCGGGTAGCAGGGGCTAGGGCGCCAGGCTGGACACTGGTGCTGGGCAGGGTGGCATCCTCAGGCCCGCGGTCCTGCTGTGGGCTGTACTGCTCCTCCTCAATGCTGAAGAGATGCAGAGCCACTGACACCGAGAAGATGACGGCAGCGAAGAAGAACAGCACCTGGTTCTGCGTCTGGAACCAGTCACCTAGGAAGGTCTGCGTCCAGTCCAGCCCACCCAGCACGTAGCCAATGGCCCCACCAAGGCCTGTAGATAGAGAGGGGGCAGTGAGCCTCAGCCCCAGCACAGGGCTGTCCCTTACACAGGGTTATGTGGCAAATCAGTGAGATGGAGAACGAAAGGACAGCTGAGACAACAAAACAGAACAACTCAGGGGACTACACAGCTCTTAACACTGGCCTAACATCCCCAGCCAGAAACCAAGACAAAAGGAGTCTCGGCCCAGAGCAACTCTAGGGCACCCATGTGTTCCCCTCCAGCTGAGTGGCAAAGCCTGGGCAGTGTCCACCTGGCAGGCATGTCATCCAGACAGACAGGCCCTACTCCCTCCTAGCCTTGCTCCTCAGTCCCTTTATCCTGCTGGGTTCCCATGTAAAGTGAGTCCCAGAGCCACCAATGACCACAGATCCCTCCCGCCCACCTGGGGCCTGGTATGGGGCTTTACCAGCAGAGAAGGCGTGTATGTTGAGGGCCATGTCTTGCTCCTCACTGTCTACCACATCCAGCAGGTAGGCACGGATAGGCCCCTCAGTTGCATCGGCACTGAAATCCAGGACCACCACTCCCAGCACCGTGAGGACAATGCCAATGGGCTGCCGGCTGGGAACATCGCCAAGCGCCAGACCTGGACAGAGTGTGGGGAAGCAGTCATACGCCAGTGTCAAGTGTCAGGCTCCTCGGGCAAATAAATGCTTTCAGGATATTTCACCCCATTTCTGTGGTTTGTGTCCCCTGAACTCTGTCTCTTTAAAAGTATTTATTCTGAGTATTTTGCCTGCATGTATGGATGTGCATCTCGTGTGTGCTTAATGTTTGCAGAGGTCAGAAGAGGGAATCAATCAGATCTTTTGGAACTGAAGTTACAGATGGCTGTGAGCCACCATGTGGATGCTGGGACTTGAACTTGGGTCTCCTGCAAGAGCAGCAATACTCCCTACTAAGCTATCTCTCCCTCCCTCATAGTTTTTCAAGAAAGAAAGGGAGCAGGTTCTTTCTCCTCAATCAGGCAACAGTGGTCACTGGCTGGTAAAACTACTGGCATCAGCTACAGTAGCTGTGCAAGGACCACTGCCACCATCTCTGAGAACACTATCTCCTCCTCTGCCCACCAACACAGACTCCTCTGTGCTGATTCCTGAGCTAGTGGGCTCTGCCTTAGCTTCCAAACTAGACAACAGGCTGTGAGTACATAAGGACCTAAGGCCACACTGCCTCAGCAGGCACCCTGAGAATTTTAAGAACCATCTCTGGTGGAGGATCCACCTGGTACAGGTATGACTCAGCAAGGAGACACTAAGGCCAGGAGGAAGATGACCCAAAGCTGCTACAGACTGTCCCTACCCTGGTTCTCAGAGCTGTGACTGCCCACAACCCTGCTGCCTCTGAAACTTGGGCAGACCTGTCTTAGAACCCACACTGCAGTCCTTCACCCGCGGAGCCAAAGAACAAGGCTTTGTTTCCACCAGTTCTGAATGGTGCCCGCAAGGCAGAAAATATTTTCCCACAGAGTGGCTTTAATTAAAAACAAAACAACAGAAAGAGGCAAAAACAACACACGAGGCATGAACCAAGAAAACAAACATCAGACTGGGTTCTGGACATTCTCAGTACCATGTCTAAGAAAAGGAGAACAAAAAAGAAAAGATAATTTCTGAAATCACTCTGGAAACAGGACGTGGTGTCAGATACGCATTAAAAACAAGCCATCACAACAGGAAGCGTTTCCCTGTGAACAGGTTCCTCCAGCTTTCCCATGTGGGACCGGCTCTACTGCCAAGCTCCCTGCTACAGTCTCCACCAGGAGGTCCTCAGCAGCCTGACCGGGTCCTTGCACAGTGACCCAGTGAAGTCACCAGATAAGGCCCTCAAAGCACGTACTGCTGCAAGCTCAGCAAACACTCACCTATAGCGGAGCCGTTGAGGAAAAGTGCAACACCAATGAGGACCCCCACACACAGCGCTAGGATGAAGGGCCGCCGGCGGCCCCAGCTCAGGGTACAGCGGTCACTTGCAGAGCCAATGAGTGGTGTGAAGATGAGGCCAAGAACAGGGCTCAGGAACCAGGTGAGGCTGTAGTACTTCTCAGGGAGGCCTGCAGGGACACAAAGCCCCCGTCACTCATCATATGCACCCCACATAAACACACACTCTTGCTCCCTCAAGTCTCCTCAGGATAGACCTAAGGGTCCTCTGGAATTGAAGACAAAGAGGGTACTCCAGATCTTGGAGCCAGTACTGGGCTCTGCCTGAAGGGCCACTATGTGGCTGGTACTGAGCAGGGCTGGGTTACTCAGGTATGGTCCCGGCCCTCTATACCACACTATGGAAGTGCTACAATGTCTTCAGTTGCCGGAATAAGAAGAGCCACTGAATTTTGGACCTGACTGAGGAAAATCTATTATAGACAGTCTTGGCAAGGGTTTACAGAGCCACCAAGGACCCCAGTCACCTTGGCAATGTGTGCCCTGAGCACCAGGGTGGTAAAAGCCCACATGTGTCGACCTGGAGCCAGGAGGCCACAGCCAGCACCCAGTGCTCCTTTGTCTGGGCATGACATGGTGAGTGTGGTGTCCTTAGGATGGAACCTGGATGGCCTGACACCAGAGTCTATGCTACCTTCCTGTCATACAAACTCAAACATGGTGTCAACAGAGCAGATGAATGATAGCCCTGGGCACAGACCAGCGCTCTGCAGAGCAACTGGAATGCACGTGCACAGGCCAGTAGCTCTGATGAGTCTCTGTATACTGTAACTCTTGCACCTGAGCACACCACACCACCTTCAAGTGACATGTGAAGACTTGTCACCGTGTCTGCTACTACAGGTCAGAGTGCTGGCTGCCCTTACAAGGGCAGTGAGTGGATGCTGGGTAAGCATGGCACATTGTGTGTCCTGGATGTGGCTGGGAGGCTTTGAGTGTCATCACAAGATCAGCAAGACTCTCCCATTTTACAACGACCCGAAGCTTGCTTAAAATCACTCCACCAGACAAGCACTCAGGCTCTAAGGACACTGAGGAAACAGACTCATGTTGAGCTGGCAAGAAAAATAAATGTGTGGGAGGAGAGCATGTCAGGGGAGGAAGCACCTTGCAGAACCTCGTGCCATCACGCCATTAGGTACCAGGGCACTCCGCCAGGGTCTAAGGTGTGTGTTCTGACCTCTGTAGCCACGCTTGGCTACAGGGAAGCTAGATCTGTTCCTATCCCAAGTCAGCAGATCAGACAAGAGTCAGGGAACTAGAGTCTGCCCAGTGAATTCCGACAGACAAGCCAAGTGGAGTTCTAATGGTATGGGCCCTTCTTACCAGGCAAGGCACTCAAGGGACTGTTCTGCCCTTGCGTGCCCTTCAGTAACACCCGTGACACATGTCCTGTCAATCCCTACTCAAAAAGACTGGGAGTAAAGGCAGTCTGAGATTCAGGGGAGGGGGAAGCACCCCGAGGCTCCCACTGACCACGCCACCAACTCAAAAGTAAATAAGGAGCTCAAGTCAGTCTAAATAAGGGCATGGTGCGTCTTCATAGGACCTGGGAGAACCGTAGCAGGCTTGTCCTTTCCTGCCTGAACCAACTGTCTTGCTATCACTGTCCCAACACCTGAGGAATGGGAGAGGACTATTGGCTCAGGTACCGCCTTGTGCTGCCCACAGTGCCTACACACCCTGAGCACAGGGTTCCACATACAGACCCATTGGCCCTGAGTTTGTCTCAGTCATGTTATGGCTCTATGAAGACACTGAGACAAGTCCCCTTGCCAGGCCCTCTCTCCTCCCACACAGTACCTCTTCAGAACTGATGCTGTGCTGTTGTACAGTCCAGCCACCCGTGGCTAGCCTATCTCTCAGCAGATGCCCTTAACTCAGGCCTCACTGCCTAGGCCCAGCAGGATGGCCCCAATACCAAACCTGTTTGAGACAGCAAGTCCCCACAGAGCAGAACTCTCCCTGTGAGGTGACAGTGCCAACACCAACGGAGCCTGTGGCCCCACCATCCTGGCATCAGTAGGCCCAGGCATTGACCCTTAGGAACACATACCTTATCAAAGCCACACTGGTAGGTTACCACATACAGGTAGACAGGAGTCATAGATGACTGACAGGTTCAGGAAATGCACACAGGAAGTCTGCAGCATCCAGCAAAGGGTCAGGAAACACCCCAGGCAGTGAGAAAGACAGGCACATGTATTTGTCTGAGCACAGACAGACTGGAGAACAATGTGCTTCTTATCTCTAGAGTAGACCACAGATTAGCAGTCTACCACAGCACTCTACAGACTAGAACAGAACAGCAAATGCTCTCACAGATGGACAGTGCAGGCTCTAGAGCAAGGTGCTCAACTTGGTGACACTTCAGCATGACACAGTCATCTGTAGTGTGGGCTGTAGGATGAGCACACATGGTGTTGAACAACAGGCCCTGCTGTACCAAAATGGCCTTCCAAGCAGCCAACAACCAGCTACTAAATGAGACCATGTACTGATGGGGCAGCTAATGAGAGTTAGTGAACAGCATTGGCTCCTCCAGGTGGGCACAGCAAGGAAGGCTGCCCAGGAGTGGAGACAGAAGCATCATCCCACAGTACTTTTACAAGAAGTGACAGCTGTAGCCATCACAGCCCAAGAGCTCTGGTTCCAGAACCAGGGAGAAAAGTCTGCTGCCCAAGATTATGTGGCCTCCCACATACATACATCTTACAAGAGATGGCTGTCATACTTCCTGACACAAAAGACTGTAGAGGGGCTGGAGAGGTGGCTCAGCAGCACTGGCTGCTCCTCTAGAGGACCCCAAATCTACATGTCAGCTCAAAACTCTCTGTAACTCCAGTCCCAGAGGATCCCACACCTTCTTCTGGCCTCCAAGAGCACCACACATGTGTGTGGTGCACAGACATATATGCAGGCAAAACACCTATACACATAAAAATAAATTAAGTAAAAAAAAAAAAAACTTTCAAAATTCAAGCTTTAATGTCTGTAAGTTTCATGAATTAGTCTGCCTGCTGGGGTCCAGGGCTGCTCACTCACTGGCTCTAGGCACAGGGATGAGCACTGGCCTACAAGCTGTCAATCTCAACTCCAGCCCTTTGTCTTCTATTGTTCCTGGGGAGGAAAGAGTTTATTTGATCTTGCAGTTCTCAGGTCACTTCAATCACTAGGAATTTGCAGTAGGCACTCAAGACAGGACCCTGGAGATGGGAGCGTACTGGCTTGTTCATCCTGCTTTTTTATAAACGTAGGAAAAGTTGAGTAGGGATGATAGTCCCCATGAGTCATGTCAATCATAAATCAGAAAACTTGACAGGTCAGTTTAATGGAGGCATTTTTTGACTAAGGTTCCTCTTCCCAGATGACTCTAGCTTGTGTCAGGATGAGACGAATCAACCAGGACACCCTTGGAGAGGCTGAGTTGCCATGCCTCTCAGTGCCGTTAGGTCTGCATCCTCTGTACTCAACCTTGCCACTACTGACATAGGAATGTGAGCTACAGTGTGAAGCTCCACACTTGGGCCTCTAGTCCTGCCAGCTTTTACTGTGTTCCTTAGGAATGTCACAGCTGGCCACTTAGCTGACACTGTTGTGTTCTGCAGTACGTGTGACAGGACACTGACCAGGCACAACAGCTCCCCACCCCAAGTTCTCTCCTGAAGAGGGATGGAGCTGGGTGAGACCTCCACATGGTGCTAACAGCCACAGGGTGGTGACTGACTGTTAGTGGGCCTGGTGATGTACCTGGTACAGCACTGTGTGCTGGAGGAATCTAGAATCCTACTGGAACAGGAAACCTGGCTAGGCAGTTGTGAGTTCAGCTGTGGAGGGTTGAAGGGTAGCAGCATTGGCTACAGAGACTCAGGGCTGTACAAACCAAAGAGAGGGGCCAAGGGCACAAGTACAGGGGACACAGCACCAGTGTTGCCATTACATCTGCTTTCTAACACACACACACACACACACACACACACACACACACACACACACACACACACACACCGGTCTACGCAGGAGTCTATCTTAAGACTCCAGATCCTGGCCTCCAGGAAACCAAATGCCATTTCAGTTACCTGTATAAGGGCTCTCAAGGTGCTAAGCAGGTGACAGCACTCTGTCCATCACAGATTTCTGGTGCTGCCCAGGGTGAGCAAAAGGTGCTGCAACCCCCAACACTCAGCTGCCAGCACCCACATCCCTGGGATGCCTCAGTCAGGCGATTCCCAGCAAATCCCTAAACAAACACAACGCCCGTCCCTAGTAAATAATTTTTGTTTTTTTCCAGGCAAAGGTTGAACAACAATGGTGGGACCCGGAAGGTTCCCTGTTCACAGGAAATACTCACTGTGTCACTGTGTGTACATGGGACAGCCCACTGCAACACTCGGGTCACATGCAGAGGTTTCTATTCACAAGGGCATTTTTGATAAACTGGTGTTTTGTGGGGGAGGGAGGCTGGGAAACTGGCCTATAAATATTTAACAAAAGGTCCAGGATGGGAATAAGAACTCATTCTTTCTCTCAGTGGACAAGGCGGCGAGGCCAGATAGGTTTATACTCCTGGACAAAAAAAACCCATGATAACATTCGCTGGTGAGAAGTTTTTCGTGGGAAAAGCTCAGCATCCTTGATTGACCTCAGGAATCTGACAGCAGGCTCACTGTGAACCCACTTCATTGGTTTCAGTGAGTTCACTTTTGCTAAGGCTGCAGCATGAGGAACATAGGTTACCTTCCACAGGCCAGGCATCACCCTCATGGTTTCTGCTGCCATGCCAGAACGTAAGCAAGGGCTGCTGAGACCCTGGGGCCTCTCTAGGCAGGGAGGGCCTGTACTGGGGGACTGTCCATCTTCAGCTAAAAGCAGGGCCAGAGAGCTTCAAGGTACACTCTAAAGCTACCAGTGCCAGGGAAGACAAGGAAAGAGCGCGACTCGTACTCAGGTGGTCTGTCTCTCCTAGCTATTTCAAAGGGCTGCTGCCATTGACCTGCTGCATGTCACGCCTATGCTTCCGTTACCCACAGCATGCTCCACACAGCGTGATCCTCGGCTCAGTCACACAGCTAAGGACATAAGTAACACAGAGACCACCACCACCACCCAT